TCCCACCTACTTCCTGCCCAACTATGCCAGGTTGCCTGTCCACACCTACAAAGGTGGGCGGATCCCTGCAGCCACAAAGCCAGTGTCATCTTATGACAGAGGTACACAATCCTCCCTGCAAAACCCCAATTCCCTTTCACCCCCAGTCACTACTGCCATGAGTTCACCTTCGGCCAGTGACTGTGGGGGGCAGTGGACTCATTCACACCATGCCTTTACCTTCAGGACAAGGATGGACCGGTTTTCAAAGCTGTAGCCAATCTGGACTTTGGAGACAATATCTGAATGCTCTGTTACAAAGCTATCGATCCAGCTGTATATCTGAAAGGAGCAACTAAGTTACCACACCGGCAGCTCTGCAGAGAGAGAGGTGAACCCCAGGACTTCTCAGGGTGTTCTCCTCACCTCATCTCCCTCTCTCGATTGCTTCCCCACCTCCTTGAAGGGTGCAAAAGAGCCCACCCCTGATCAAGAATACAAACACGGAGGAAGTCCTCCAGGGCTGAGGGCCAGAGTGGTGACCAGCTTAGAGTTCCAGGTTTCTCGCCTCTGTGCAGAGCTAGGCCTTTGCCTGGGGAAGCAGCATATGCTGCACCTCCTCCATCCCCTAGGCCTGTCTGTGTGGTTCTCTCTGGTTGGACCTTCTCCCTCCTGCCTCCTTTCTTTTGTTCCATTCAATCCAGTTGATCGGTCTTGGAGACCCAGTGGTGGTGTTTGGGTCTTACTGCCCTTTTTAGATTCCAAGGCCCTTAAAGTCAGGGTCCCAGTTCCACTTATCTTTGGCCTCAGTAAGCAGTGACTGGCGTCATTCACTCATTCGCTTGCTCTTTTCAGTAGCAAATGTCAAAAAGACATTTTCCTCTATCGCAGTCTTGTGAAGCGACGGTGGTCATGACAGAGTGGAGAAGATGGCTTCTGCCATGTCCCTTGCATGTGAAACGGAGCCTGTACCTTGTGGTCCTTTCTCCAGGGGCCACCCCTGTGCCCGCCTTGCAGATGAGTCTACATGTCACATGAGCCAACCCTCTCCTGCCTGCCCCAGCCGGCGGTTGCCAAACTCAGAGCCATGTCTCTACAGGAAGTCATGTTTTCTGCACACATGGCTCTCGGATGTGCCTGGCTTCCTGTCCTTCCTGCCCTCCAGAAGCCACAGCTGGGCCACTGGAACACAGGGCTGACTGTGGAGGTGCCAGGGCCCCTCGAGCCCCAGCCAGAAGGGTGCACATGAAGGCAGCCGCTTGCTTGTGCTGTTCGGGCCAGCAGCAAGGTCGCTAACTCCATCTTTCACCATGGACTTCTTACTCAGGTCCCGAGCACTGACCTGGTCCCGTCCCTCCCTATGACTCCAGTTTCTCTGTCTGCATCCTGGGCTCTGACTACCTAACGGATACCCACCTCCTAGCTAGGTCTGCTCTGCCTTCCTCTCGTGTCCATTCACAGTTTCCCACGGAGATCATCCTGAGAATCCTTCATGAATCTCTGCCTGAGTCGGAAGACCCCAACGGGCAACAGAGCCTCGAACTTGACCGTGCCTACCTACCTCCTCCAGTGTGTGGTAAGAGGAGTAACGGAAGCTACTGGTGCTGCGCTCCAGCCGGCGGGACTTCGCCATCGCTTCTCTCTCCGCATCCAACAGCACCTGGGGGGCAGGACCACATATGGGGAGAGAGGGGAGGGCCGGTCAGGGCACACCACGCCTCTACTGAACCCTGCTGGTGCCCAATGGCAGCATCATCTCGGGAGAGGGGGCCACCACGCCATGCGTGTAGACCACGCAGCGGGAGGAGCTGTGGGTGTGTTGGAGACGTCTCCTTGGTGCAATCCATGCTGCCCTTCTCCACACGCACTCAGGGCAAGGCGTTCAGAGAGCTGGCTTCTAAGGTGGCCTCTGCCCCTGCTATGCTGGGAACCTTGGCTTTCGTCAAGGTTGAAAATCTAGACAGCTTTGTTTTGCCCACCTCATAGAGTACATATGTACATCTTTAATGGAGGACATGAGCATTTTGGAAAAGGTGCACCTTACCGCCAACATCGCTTATATTCGCTCTGGATACTCCGTTGAGTCAAGGTCTAAGTTGTCCTACATATACCGACAGAAACTGGACTGAGCAACGAGCTCCCTAATTCCCTGTATCCCCTTGATTCCTTGGAAGTAGCCCCCACAAGTGGTGCCTCAGCCAATTGGAAAGCCAGGTACGGACAAAGCCGGTCCAGATCCGTATTTTATTTTTGGCATTTTAAAATTTAGGCTGGCTGGTTGGTTTTGAGTTGAATGCCAATCCCATGCTGTGTTTCAGTAAGAACAGCAGATTCTGTATCTGTGTCTCCAGTCAGACTGAGTTAGTTAATTGTGCCAATCTGGCCGATAAACACATGTGGGACTAATTGAAAAGTGGAGGGATAAATGGGTGGTGAGCCTCGCCTTTCTAGTTCTTGGGTCTCTTGCTTTGTGATGGTCGCACCAGGGTGCAGCTGCCTTAGCAGTTCCCTGCTTCAGCTTGCAAGATTGACTTCCTACAAGACATCACCAAGGAGAAGCTACATGGACCTATCCCGATGCAGCCCTGGGTGCTGGAGCAGCCGTGTGGAGACCCCTGCTAGTGCTGAGATGCTTGTTCGTTCACTGCCTCAGCTTTCCTCCTGCAGTCGGCATCATTGCCTCTGTTTTGTGAGGTGGAGGACTTTGTGGACTGGTGTTGGGTTAATGGGTTAATGTTGGACTTGTGGGCTTGAGCAGCATTGGGTTGGGATGTTTTCGTGATGCACCTTTTCTTTACATAAAACTCTCTCTTATACATGAGTCGCTGTGGATTTGTTCCTCCAAAGGACCCACACTAAGACACAGACAGTGCGAAGCACACATTAGTTCCCAGTTACCCATTCTGAAAGAAAAAGGTCGAGAGAGTAAAGAGGGGCAGGGGCAGTGTGTGTGTGTGGGATAGGGTGGGGGAGGGCAGAGGGAGAAGAAACAAAGAATTGAAGACCCACCCAGGCTGGTTCATACCGCCTTCAATGCCAACCTGCTTCAGAGGGACAGAAAAAGCAGCCAGGAACAAGCGGCCATGATGGTGCCCAAGCATCGTTAATGGGCCAAGAGCGTTGGACTCACTGTGCTAACTGCGGACAGTGCTCACAGGGGACTTCCCATTGACTATAGAAAGGCAGGATAGTGCCACTGGGGTAGCCATCCACTGCTTGGACCTCCTACGCCACCCTGGCTCATATCTCCCCGCTTGAGTCTCAGTGAGATGAGAGGGCATCCCTTACCTAAGTTCCATACCCATCCGGGGCCCGTGGCAGACAGGACACCACACTGACCACCCAACATGGAAAGGGTCCCTCTGCCACAGGACAATGCTGGGGGAGTGGGGAGCTCAACCCACAGCTAAGACTTGTTTGTGCCTCTGGGTCACAAGCAACTCCTGACCAGACCCTGTTTGTGCCCAGGATCTTTTAGTTGCCCCTTGATGCTCATTAATGCGTTGAGCAGATGTGAACTCTTTCCACCTGAGAGATGTGGCAGCTCAGGGAGGCAACGAGAGGCCATGGCAAAGCTAACACGTGATAGAGGTGGGTGAGAACCCCAGTAGCTAGTTCCTAGCCTACCATCCCTTCAGGCTGGCTATCAGCTGTAAAGGCCAGCAGGAATAACAATAGCCACATCTACATCTGTATTTCATCTTGCTTCCTTTGGACAATGCCGTCAGGAAAGACCAGAGCATAAAAAGAAGAAGAAGGAAGAGGAGGAGGAGGAGGAGGAGGAGGAGGAGAAGAAGAAGGAGAAGAAGACCATGTTTGGTAAAGAGTCGGCGGACATGAGGAAGGGCTTCGTGGGCTTGAAGAGAGCAGGGACAGTGAGGATGGTACAAGGGGGGGACAGTGTCCCACCCTATGACACACAAAGTTGAGCCAGAGGACAGCAGTCTGTCCAGATATGTACACACACACACACACACACACAGAGCACAGATACGGAAAACACCAACAGCTGAAAAGTCAAATGCGCTGTCCTCGTTATTAGAATGTTTTCTTAAATAAGGAAAGAGCATGCATCCTTGGACCCTGGGAAAACTGACTCTAAAACGCGAAACAAAGCAAATGCTCGCAATGCCCGATAGAAGGAGTGTGAGGTTTTTAAGCTAGTGTTGGGGGTTTTTCCTTTATTTTTACATTTTTTGACAGTGTGCTTCCACTACTTCAATAAATAAGAACTTCCAAAACAATAAAAATAATCCCCAAGTCAAACAAACACCCACACCCCAAAGCCCTTCTGGTTAAACAGAAGCCACACCGGGGAGTTTTCAACTACCAGGGCTGGAAGGGAGGCCCTACCACTGACAACACCTGACGACCTAGTGGCTGGATCACCCGGCTCATGCCCACAGGGTTAGAAATGAGCTTGGAAACAGGTACTTGGGCTCATTTTTATTCCTGGGAGCCGGCTACTCCCGAGACCACTGTAGCTAGCTGAGTTGCCTGGGCCGGGATACCCATGCTTGACCACAGCCAGGTGTACCATCCGGTTGGATATGGCTGGAGAGTCCTGGCCTCTAGAACTGGCAGCAGCCCACCCTGGGTGGCTCGAACAAAAGGAATTTGTTTTTCTTTTCCAAGGAAATTGGCCAAGCTCTCTACAGCCTACCATGACTGATGTGCGCCTGTCACTGTGGGACAGCTGGGTGCTACCAGCTGCCCTGCCCAGGAACAAGTGGCCCAAGAGCAGGTGGCCCAGGAGCAGGTGAGCCAGAGCACACTCGGAGTCGGCTGGCCTGGTCCCAGGCTACAGCCCCACTAGAATGCGGTTGGAAGGGCTGGCCATCTAATTTCCTAGGGATCGATAGGTGGCTAGAGCCCAGGTGGGGTAGTGGGTTACGCACACGTTGGGCTGCTAACCGCAAGGCCAGCTGTTTGAATCCACCAGGAGGAAGATGAGGCTGTCTTTTCCCATAAAGCTGCATAGCCTCAGAAGCACTAAAGGGCAGCTCGACTCGGTCCTACGGAGTTGATGTGAGTTGGCAGTGGGTTTGGTTCTCCTTGGATGTTGCTCTGGTTGTTTGGTGCCATGAAGTTGGTTCTGACCCACGGCAGCCCTATGAACAGCAGAACCCAACGCGGCCTACTCCTGTGCCATCCTCACAACTGTTCTCATGTCTGAGCCTGTGGTGACAGCCATTGGGTCAGCCCATCTCATTGAGGACCATCCTCTCTGTCACTGCCTCTCTACTTTAACAAGCACGATGTCCTTCTGCAGGGACTGGGCTCTCCTGACACATGTCTTACATCCTTGCCTCTAAGGAGCCCTCTGGCTGGGCCTTTTCATGAATAGGTGGTGCCAGTTGGCTAGTTGATGGGTTGCTAATGGTTGGAGATCCTGATTCATCCACAGCATCTTGGAAGGACAGTCTGGCGACCTACTTCTGAACAGGTCAGCCACTGCAAAGCCAGCAGCTCTTCAGATCTGCTCAGGTCACTTTTAAAACAAGCCAAACTACGTCCCCATGTCTGAAAACCTCAGCCTGGTTTGGCTTAATTGGTAAAGACCGTCTGCCTTGAGCATTATGCTTTTTTTAAAAAAAAGATCTAATGATAGTTGATCCACAATCAATGCTCACGCGAGTCGCAGTCAAGAGATCAAACCACATATTGCATTGGGCAAACTGGAGCATCAGGGAGCGAAGATGTCACTGTGAGGACTAAGGTGCTCCTGACCCACCGCATGGCATCTTCACGGGCCTTGTATGCATGTGAGTGTTCGACAGGGAAGAAGGAAGAAGAACCGATGCACTTGAATCGTGGTGCTGGCAAAGCGGACTGAACATGCCAAGGACTGCCAACAATAAAAAAAGAAGCCGCTCCCTGCCACTGAGTCAACGGAGGCCCCGAGTGACCCTCTAGGACAGGATAGGACTGCTTCTGTGGGTTCCCAGTCAAAACCTCCGTCTTTCTCCCTCGGAGCAGATCTTAGTTTTGAACTGCCGACACTGTGGCTCTCAGTTTAATGCATAACCGCTATGCTATCAGGGCTCTTTTGCACCAATCAACAAACTCACAGACCTGTCAGACTGGAAGAAGTCCAGTCAGAATGCTCCTGAGAGGCAGGGAGATGGTGAGGCTTTGTCTCACATTCTTTGGACATGTTGTCTGGAGAGACCAGTCCCTGGAGAAGGACAGCGTGCTTGGTGAAGTTGAAGGTCATCAAAAAAGAGGAAGGCCCTCAAGAAGATGGACGGGCGCAGTGGCGGCCACAAGGAGCTCAACTGTGAGAACGACTGGGGAGATGACGCAGGACGGGGTGGTGTTTCCTTCTGTAGCGTGGCTATGAGTCAGAATCAGGACGGTGGCACCTGACAGCCACAGACACCACAAAACAAATGACTCAAGAAAGGGCCAGAAAGACCACAAGCCGAGGGCGCCCAGCTGCCGAAGAGGCTGCCGTGAGCTGGAGTCCAACCCAGGGCGCTTGAGTTGGGGTGGAGGGTCCGAGGTGGTGGGTGAAACAAGAAAGCAGAGAGAAGACAGGAGAATAGACCAGAAGAGCCAGTTCTTCTCCCACAGCCCTGCCCAGTCCGGCCTGCCCACGGAGGCCTGCCTACGGAGGCCGGCTCACAGGAGGCCCAGCTGAGCGGCACACAACATCGA